CGTACGCCTCTTGGCAATATCTCCCGTCAGAACGAGTAATTCATTAATGAATCCATCAGGGAGAGATTATAAGTGATAAGCTCGAAGGACTATTAATAAATAGCCAGTGAGTCGATTTTTGTTGCCGCAATGGAGCGGCTGACGAACTCAATTTACGTGTTCGGATAGCATGGGTCTCCTCTTTCCCCAGGAATTTATCAATTGCCGAAAAAAATCGAGGGGATCTCAGATATCTTTGACGAATGAGAGGGAGCCTGAAATTCGAGGGTTCTATCTGGATCCCGAATGCAATTATTGCTGCAGGTTGCTTTCCTGAAGTTCTCATGATGCGACGGAGCTTCAGAAGACTCGCCAGTCATTCCGGAATGGAAATCCGTGAATGAACGTAGAATGATATAAAGAGAAAAATGTCTCAATGAGCTCGTAAATCGATTTTGATGAGATCCGGAGCGGAATTTCGTTCGGCTCCCATGATGAAAACGGCGGCACCAGCGGCATCGATTTTGTTGGTGATGATGAAGATGCCGACAACCAACGATGGCTTGAGTAATGCGTGTGTAGCCGCCGCCGTTTCGGTCCCACGGATCGCAGACGGTCGCGAATCGAACGGCAGCAGCCGAGGCGGAATTCGTTTCATTCATTCAACAATGCCCGATCTATCTTACCGAATGAGCGTCTGTGTACTTTGACGACAGCTCAATTTCCATTCCTCCTTGCCTTTCCCTCGCTGGGTCTGTTGGTCCGCGGTGCTCGGATGGAGTTGCTGTGCCTCAATATCTTGATTTGTGAATTGATACGGCTCCGAATCCGAGGAGGGAAGGATCCGGACGCATATTGTGGACTCGGTCATCATCGCGCGTCGCGATAGCTGTACGGGTAATTGGCTAGGTAAACGTTGCGGACTAGCATCGGCTGGAAACGCGCGACCACGACCAGGGTGCAATTGGCTAGAAAACCATTAACGGTCGCTTGTTCATGAGCTGATGACCAGACCGGGTCACAATACAGCCTCAAGTGCTCGAGCCCCACTCAGAGTTGGTGTGAGCCCTCACTGACGCCTGACACCATCCGTCTTCGCCGACACAGCCCTGAGAGCATTTCGAAACACTCAGCGGGTTGTCACCCAAGACAGCGAGTTCTTTTTCTTGAATTCGGTCGCTGGAAACTCGCGGGAGGCAGGGAATCGCTATGCAGGAGCCTCTCCCACCATTTCTGTGGACTCGTGCCCGTGGACTTCGTCTTTTAACCGCGTAGCTTTTCCCGTGTCTCCTCGTAATTGTCGTCGGTGAGTGGAAACTCCTCGCCGGCGATCGCGAATCTGAGGCCAATTCCAATAACGATTACGACGAATTGATGAGCCTGGACGCGATTCTACCCAAAAGGAGGGGAGCACCCGCGCCACCAGCTCTGTGAAGCGTGTGAGTAAAACCCGAGATGTAGGCCTCAGACGAACGAAGGTGACGGCTCAGAGTCGCGTCCATTTCAACTGCGAGTGTTATTCCGCGGTCGGTAGGCCAACTGCCCGGTCGGCCGGTCGGCCAACCAACCTGCCTGGCCGGCCGGTCGGCCGTACAATTGCCTACAGAGAGACTTCTTTGTTTGACGAAAACGAAGACGACGACGACGAACTGGTCCACGACGCAGCTCTCGCGGCCAACAGTAGCACCCAGAGCGAGCTGAGATTCCGATTCACTGTCTGAGTGACAACTGACTGGCTTCGGAATGGATGTCTGTGTCACTTTGTCTCCTCGTGGACAAATGTTTAGATACAGCTCAGAATTTGGATGCGTAAAGACGGAACGTCTCGATCTCAATCTTGGTCGATGTGAGCTCTGGCGGGGGATCATTAACGCTGGGCATGGTGCTTCGCATAGACAGCGAGTTCCGGCACCGAGATTCATACCGTTCGAATACTCCTCATGAAGCTTCTACATAAGGACAATGAATATAGGGGAAGCTCAAGCTCTTACCCACTCCGATTCATGTCTGCTTATCCGATGATCATCGAGACTCCTCCCCTGCTGTCGAACTCGCAAGTACACACGCAGGCCGAGGCGAGAACTATACTCGAAGGTTTCCGTGACGGATGATGAAATAGAGTTCCCGTCCTGAACATTCGTCGGGGTGAGCGAGGTATTGCGTTATCTCGCTCATTATGCTGCGTAGATAGAGCTCTTGAAGATTAGCCGACGTCTCCAACAAAAAAGAAAGTTTTCTATCGAGCCTACTCTTTGTAGGTGGCAAGTGAGTCATTCGTGGTGGAGTATTCATTTTTAGATTTTCTCCACATCCCCAATCACCTCATTACTCGGGCTTGGGCTTTACATCACAGTGATTTCTGGGGAGTGCTACCAGATGAGGATCGTTTCTGTGTAGCGTGTGCACAGACTGGGACCGCAAGGGCGAACAGAGTCGTCGATGGATTCGCTTAACAAGCCAGAAGCGCCCGATGCCTCGACGAACGCGGTAGATTTCAGATATAATTTAATAATGACATTTGTTTTGAATTTATCCGATCTACTCGCTTTCCCACCGGTGTGAATCCATCCGCAGTGTTTTCATTTGTGAGCGCAATATCGTTTGTACGTCTGCAGGAGCTAATTGACAAGATTCCAATCTGAGTACGCGCTTTTTCCTCGATCGCCATTAAAGCCGGAATCTGGCTGCACGCGGCGAAATATGCAAGAATACTAAGGTCACTATCTGCGTCGGCGGCGATAACACCTAATGATGGTGATTTCTCACATGACGTCGCGTCGTTCTGTAAGCCAGACACGTTTTCTTGCCGTGGAACCAGAATCTTTCGATCCATCGATTGAAATATGACAATGATAAGGATAACAACAATAACGCGGGAGCTCAGAGCGTCTTCCCGGTGCGAAGGATAGTGAAACGAGAGTCCGAATCGCTTCTTAGCGACATCGTTTTGCGTCAAGCGTCATGAACTCGAGCGCGCGCCGCCGTTTCATCGTCGAGACAGTCACTGGGGCGCGTGGAGTCCTGTCGAACCCGGCGTGGCTCGCTGAAGGGGTTCGCCCTCGTGCAAAGTTCGAGATAGTTGTCTTCGACGAATAGCGCCCACCGGCAGATAGAGTGCCAAACAAGCGTATTCGAAGTTTTTCCTAGGGCTAAGAGAGACATCCACGGCGAGCAGCACGCGGAGCGGTGCGATAGAGAGTCAGCGACGGCTTCGAAACGCGAAGAAACATGTGGCGCTGGTGCGTGCACCGGACATAAAAAGTACTGTCGATGAACTTCTTCGTCTGATCTCTCCCCGAAGAGCCGTAACCTGGTATGGGGCTCCGAGCAGCAGCGGCCGCCGAAGCCGTCAACCTCCTCGTCATCATCTCTGAGCGAACTGACTCTGTAGAGTATCGTCCTATTTTTTCTCCGTCGCGGAACGATCCTCCCCCCCCCCCTCTCTCTCCCGGCCGAATCCTGGGACTTGAAGCCCTTCGGCCCATCTTGTCGTGGTCTTGAAATTCTACCCCTTCGAGATTCCCTCAACTCCTGGAACTTATTCGTGAGCGCTGCACGAGCCGGGCCGGGACTGAGAAGTCCCCGCAAGAAGAGACGGAGAAGGGGCAGCTTCAAAACAACCTTCAGCCTGCTCTGTCCGATAAAGCGCGCCGAGAGTGCGCGCTCGCTCGTTCGTTCGCGCCAGGAGTCATAATATTTTAACAGCTCCCTACAGAGCCATAAGTTTGATCTATCCCCCATAATGTACGGGGCAATGTTAATATCTATCGCGCAGGGGACTTCTTGTGAGCAGCGTTCAATGGACGAACCGGCGCGCGAGGGAGCGAGCAGCGGCGGGCAAGCAGATGACAGACCGACGGAGCGATCGGAAGAGTGAGCGGCAAAAAGCGAGAGATGTCGCGATCCGAAAGGGCACCACTACTCCCTCCCGTCGAGTTCTCTCCCGTGCCAAGAGTTCACGTGCGAAGAAATAAATGTATTTGTCCGCGCGTCACTGACGCTCCCGACAGACAGGCTGCTTGCCCCTTTCTGGGTCCCGTCAGCCCGTCTGGCCGGCCGGCCGCCTGCCTGCCCGCCTGCCTGCCCGCCTGCCTGGTGGAGATATGCAGCTGTTTGACTGCTGCTACTGCATATGCATCGACAGCCGTAGGTAGTGCGTCGGTCGGTCGTTCAGCTCTGCTCCGATCGAGGTTCCGGAGGTCCTGTGCAACGGACCAGCACTGAATGATCGGCTCGGAAACGTGACACTGTTTATCCTGGACCGGAATAGCTTCTGGAAGGAGGGGTCGAGAACGAAATTCCGGAGGCAAGCGCCCTGGTCAAGCCTGGTAATCGAGCCGAGAGAATCTCACTCGAGCATTATATACTGCTTCCATTGTATTTCTTGATGATTCTAATGTGCTCGCCTATTTTGGCTGCTCAGAGCTGAGACAGGATGGTTCCTTTCTGAGCGTTGAGCGGAATATCTGTGTTTCAACAACTTCACGCAAGAGGTGTGGGGAATTCTCAGGTCTGGTTCTCCCCGCGGAGGGTGCGAACCAATGCACGTGGATCGATACACTTTTCTAGCCTGACAGATGAATGCAATCAATGCACAGCGTTCGAGTCTTCTCCGTCTTCTCTCTTGTCCCGATTATTTCAGCTAGTGTTTTTCTCTATTAATCTGCGATTGAAATAATCACCATCTTTGAAAACTATTAGGCGACTCTGACGATTCGAATCACTGAGTGAGTGTCGCGTGCGCTGATATTGACACCGCAAATATTGGCTCAGCTCCAATGACATTGATCCCGATCGTCGCAGACACCATGCACTTTGTCGAAATAACTCTTTGTGGTCAATCGAAAGCCAATCGTCGATCCAGTGTTCTATTAATTCGATAAGAGCGATCATCGCATCGCTAACCATGAGATAAGCGAGCCATACTGCGAACACCCGCTAGTTTTTGAATGTGTGCTGAGCATTGGAGCTTCTCGATTTATTGGCTTATTTGCTCGCTTCTTCTCCCACAGATGCCCCGTTTTTGGCTTCCCCATACCTAGGAGATCCCTGGGCCTGGAAGAACGCCACCAATTTCAACGCACCTTCTCCCGAAGAGCCGTCCAGTCAGGACGACAAAAACGGTACGCTTGTTTTTTATCATTAGTTCGAACCTGCCCGGACACGCTTAGGAAATACGCAATCCCCAGCCTGGAGGTCACCGCTGCATCCATCAAATGCAAATGACTCTCGTTACTTATGATAAGCTCGTCGTGTTACCTCGGGAGCGAGCTTCCTCTCTCAGACAACAAGTAAGACGAGCCAAACCAGAAATAGGCTCCTGAAGGCGGGCTCCTCGCTGCTGCCATCGCTTTCAGGATGGGCGGTAGCCCATAATGGCGGAATCCGTGCTGCTAAGTTTATCCAAGGCCCCCTAAGGGCCCCTCTGGAGTGCTAAGACGCCGTGCTTTCATTATGCTGAGCGGGTGTGGGTGAAAGCGGCACGAGAACCCGCTCACTTTTAGATTGACTATTCCATATTGTACAACCGCAGAACCGAAGGCGCTCTGGTCGTCTTCTGATCGAGCTCCTTGGATGGTATATCATCCTTTCCAAAGTTCCGCTTCCGGCGGACGTATTATGCGTCGACCGGTAGGGTGCGTCGGAAGTCGGAGCCGAATCCCTGGAACACCGTGGATCCTGATGTTATTCCTACCTTCAATGGGTCGTTTACTCCATGGCGAGACCTAATACTGACTCCTCAGGAAGTGCCAGTCTTATAATGGAGGTTCGTGCGTATAAAAAAACAACGACGTCGGTGGAAGCCTTCGTCAAAGTGACAACATCTATACTTGATGAATCTCTCCCGTAACCCGAAACCGTCATATCGGTCTGGCGGCATCTCCACAGAACTTGTATGGGGCTTTTAAATGGTTCTTACTGCCGTGCGTTATTAAGGTAGAAAAGATGAGAGCAACTGAAGAGCACTCATCTCATCTACACTCATCAGTTGCCGGAAACTCCTTGGGTTCCAAGTTGGCTGGGGCCAACTGTTGATATAGAAAGCTGAATCCACCGTCTGGAAAACAATGGCTGCGATCATGACAACGACAACAATAACAGCACCGAGACCTGTGTAGTATGCCGCCCTCAGGCATCGTGAACGACATCAGCTCTTGTACTTGTCGAGGGCTCGTCGTATCCCCCATTCATTTTTTCCACGGGCGTGCACTCAACCCTTCTTCTCGTTCATCCTCGGAAAAAGAGATCCTGCTCGATGACAATACCGATGTTTGTTGCGTCGAGGGGGGAGAAAAGACTTTCCATCCAGAGCCGGAGTTCCTCCTCGGCGATGACGACCATCATTTCTCTGACAATGTCTTGTCTTGAGTCACCCACTCGCTGTCATGCCGAAACAATGTTCGAAACAGCATCTGTTGAGGAGAACAACAACTACGACAACAAGTACAAGTACAGCAGCGGCAGTCTCGAATCGCGAGTTCCCATTAAAATTTTATTCTCATAATCCTCGCGCGAGATATAAGCCACGACTCGTTAAGAATGTCGAGTCTATCTATCATTTCCGGTCGAGGACGGGGGCCGTGAATAGGAATTTCGCTCTCGCGTGTTCGACAGCTGGCATTCCGGAAAGAGATCGGCACTGCAATGAGATCTCTCGGTTTTCATGCTATCGCGGATTTTTCATCGAGAATCCAGGTAGCTGAAACGATGGGTATGGGGGAACGATGGAAAGCCACCGACATGGTTCGAGTTTGTCTCAAGTTGCCAAGGCTGTCCCGAGATGGCGTTGGGTCAGTGATCACAGCGTGAAAGCCGCGCGAGCTCATTCTTTCTCTATAATCTCTCCTTTGGTCGTTTTCCTCGCTGCGGCGGCGGCCGTAGTCAACGTGTTTCTTTGCTTATGTCTTCTTCGAGTCGAGCGACTTCTTCCTCGAGTTTCTCCTTCTCCGACTGTTCGAGTCCGTTCGATGGTCCGCTCGCTCGCTCACTCGTCCGTCTGTCCGCCTATCCGCCGCTCATTCAGCCGCTGTAATGGAGAACGAGGCAACAACTACCAACTACCAACTACCGAGTCCTGGAATAGGAAAATGCTGAAGAGAAAGAGACACATGTGTCGTCGTTCCAGCCGGCGGAGTTCACAAAAGCGGCCGATACTGCTGCAACTGCTGCTCCGAACATAACAACGACGACGACCACGAAGACGATGTTAAGCGGTAATGCAGCAGTTTTTTTTTACCAAAGGCTCTCCGTACCGCCCTACGGAACCATTGACAAATTATGAGACGGAGATCGAGCACCGAGGGAGAGAAAGCCGCACATAGTAAAAGCGACAGAAAGCTCATTGAAGTTACCGCCAAGAGATCATGCCACCGGCCGTTCTTTCGCTCTCGTGAATGGAGTTAGTTCTGAGGACTTCCGTTCCCGGGTGCATGGGGTTGGAAGACCGAGATAATGGAATAGGCAAGAAGACATGCAGCTTGACAAGCTCAGGAACTCTTTCGAATTCGCCGAAGGCTCCGTCTCCCGCACCGAGCTCGAGTTCTACAGGATAGTGCCGGCCTGTGACGTTCAGTGATCGGCCTGTGACTACTGCTCAATGTCGATGTGACGACTTCTGTGCAGCTCGTTCCCTCTCTCTCGCATTCGCTTTCTGGTGTGTGCTCCTGTCATCTTCCCGGACTGTCAGTCGGAGTTCCAGTCCCAGACGTTACATATTTGTCCGCTTGTCTTCTCGCTCTGAAAGCGACCCTGTTGTACAGAATATCCCGACGGCTGATATTTCGTCCGTAGCTGACAAATTCGCGCATCGAGCTTCTGGCCCTGGAACAAAAGAGAGCGTGTCCGAGGACAAGAGCCCTTCAGCGTCGATCGAGAGCTTTCATTCCAGCGAGAGATTCGAGCTTGAAGAGCACTGAAGTTGGATTCCAATTTTTCATTGGCATCGAATCCGGGTCGCGGTTCCGTCAGCGATCAGGTTTCTAAACTTCATGAGTTGCGCCAGTGTGGCTTTTGATTTCCGCTTCGGAGGCGCACCTCCTCGAGTCGACTCGGAGACTGTTAGAAAGCTGTTTGCTCTTCATCAACGTTCGCACAAACACTTTCGAGAGTCGCGTTCGTTCAACTTGCTCGATCTCAGGTTGGCTCCTGTCCGATGTTGTTTGCTGATCGTTGACCTGAGCCAATCACACCCGAACTCAGGTCCTCGAATCTGCTAGATCCGTTACGGCTGTTTTGTAAGGTGTGGCGGTGTTTTTTTTCTCTGGCGACTTTCTGAGACATCCGCGCAACTCAAGAACTTCACTTCCTCCCACGAGGGCGACGCCGATGAGATTCCCTGCAACTCGCAAGCAAAACATTTCGCATGAAGCCTCGTAAGTGAAACGAGTGCCAACCAGAGCACCGGACAAGCCGAGTCATTTATCATTTGCAATTTACTCTCAATTCAAAGCGAGCGCTTCGCAAACAAACCCGAGGCAGGCCTGGAGAGTCTCGAGGGAGTTTTTGGTCCGTCGGATTGTAGCAAATCATTTGTTGAGCAGCACATAGAGAGCGTGGTGTCTCTTTTTTCACAACCCAGCACCGGACTTAATTGCCCTTCCGTCTCAATCCAATCGAGCATATGAGTCTGTCGATCTCGCAATGGATTGGGTTCATCCTCGGTACGTTATCAGCACGAGTACCGTGAGCATTATGTCGATTAGCTCGCCTTGCGACATATCGCAAATAAACGCGGTCAGCTCCTCATATGGCTCTGCGCTAATTGCAGTCAGACATCAGGAGTACATTGGCCCTGATCGCGATACCTTCAGGCAGGGCCCGAGCCCTCGCAGCTCCTGACGGGGACAAAAAGGTTTCTGTTCACTTCGCGACGCTGATGACGCATTTCCGTTGAGAAGCCGTGTATCATTCATTTGCGTCTCAGGGCCATATAGTTTCTGAGATCGTATTCTCAGATAAGTTCTGACCTGATAGAAACAGTAGTTCAGCCAGTATACCGCGGTCACAGTCGTGGTGAGCGCGATGATCGTCCTCTTCGTTGTAACCGCTGCCGTGGCCGCTGCTGCTGCTACCAGAGCTATGTATAGCAGGCTAATGAAGTGGTATCATAAAGGTTTCGTATTACTCACACCTGCACCCTCTTTCGGGCAGCCGAGCACAGGGAGTCTGCACTGGAACCAAGGATGAAGCAGCACTCCGTCGGGTCGGAGGGGGTCTATAAATTTCTCAAAATGCTACTACCTCCTCGTTCTCCTCCTCATCCTCAGCCGCCGGTGCCACTTCTCATGCGCCTCGTTCTCCTGTTCGTACTATGACTTCTCCTCTAGCTGCAATAGCGGCGAGGTAATGAGCTGCTATGATTTGTCTTCCATGCTCCACGAAGCACCCACCCACCTCCGTTCCACCCCTGCCTGCCTGCTTTCATTCCTCCGCTCGTTCCCTGGCATGGACCAAGCAAGCTTCTTCTTCTTGGACAAGTGGAGCAGGTTCATATTGCGGAGTGCGCTTTCTTCTACTCATACCGTTTCGCCGAAGACTTTAGAAATAGCTTTTGTACATTGCCTGCGGGCCGGCGGCACTCGTTCTCTGCCGACGCCTCCTCCGACGCCAGGCGTGTGCATGTGGCGTGGCCAACGCAGCAGCTCTAATCTCGACAGTCTGTTTTCCACTCACAGCGTAACCCGGCGCTTGAGTCTGAAGATGTTGAATTTCGCCGGCGAGCTCCCTACTGCCGGCTCACTGGCTGGCTGGCTAGCTGGTTGGTCGGTGGGTCGGTCGGTCGATCGACTAGCCACAGAACGAGCGAGAGTCGCAGACAATGTCGAGTTTGAGCCGACCAACTCTTTGCATAAGCCGCAAATCCATCGACATCCACACATTATGTGTCGCCCGGCCACAAAGGCACTCGACAAGTTTGCAACTAACTCTTAACTTGGATAGCGAAATCATCTGTGGGATCGATGTCGATCCTCTTGAGAGATCGTACCCTCGGACGACCGAGCACTTATCCGGCTGTAGGAACTTCCGAAGACTCGCTCCACGGAGAACTTCTCTCGGTCTCCTTCGATGTTTCTGGAGAAAAATGCCGCACACTATGTACTGAATAACGCACGCGTAACTAAGG